TGATCTGAGAAAGATATTATCTTATCTTTCAAAATTTCCAGCTGTATTGACAATCCTGAGCAAGGGCCCAGGTGAATGAGAGGTCAGGGCTTTGCAATCTTGACATACTCAGCAAGTCATGTTGAACACAAGAGGCCTAAGGAGGATGCCTCCTAACGTTTAAAAAAAATGACTATATGTATTTTTTCCATGTTCAACATTTATTTTTAAAAATAAATTGTATTGTATATATTTAAGGTATGCAACATAATGTTATAGAATACATATAGATAGTAAAATAGTTACCATAGTGAAGCAAATCAATACATATATCATCTCACATAGTTACCTATTTCAACATGTTTATGATTCCATTTTACTTCCATTATTGGCTTGTTACTTATATCTTAAAAAAATTTTTTTTCGTGGTTGCCTTTGAATTTATAATATATGTCTTTAGTTAATCACAGTCTATCTTCAAATAATATTATACCACTTCTTATATAGCGTAAGGATACTTTAACAGCATGGTTCCAATTCCTCCAGCCCATCATTTTTATTATTATTATTGTCATACATTTTACTTTTGTATATGCTATAAACCCACAATGGATTGTATTATTTTGCTTTAGTCAAGCAATTACCTTTTAAGGTGATTAAAAATCAGAAAAATGTCTGTTATATTTACCTTTATTTTATCCATTGCCAGAGATCTTCATTTCTTTATGTACATTTAAGTTTCTCTTGGATAGCATATTTCTTCTGCCTACAGAACTTCCTTTACCATTTCTTATAGTGCTGGTCTGCTGGTAATAAATTTTCTATTTTTGTTTATCATAAAAAGTGTTTGTATCGCCATGTTTGAAAGATATTTTTGCTAGTTATAGAGTTTAGGTTAACAAGTCCCCCCCACCCCAGCATTTCAAAGATATCATACTATTGGCTGGGTGCGGTGACTCACACCTGTAATCCTATCACTCGGGGAGGACAAGGCGGGTGGATTGCTCAAGGTCAGGAGTTTGAAACCAGCTCTGAGCAAAAGCAAGACCCTGTCTCTACTATAAATAGAAAGAAATTAATTGGCTAACTAATATATGTAGAAAAAATTAGCCGGGCATGGTGGCACATGCCTGTAGTCCCTGCTACTCGGGAGGCTGAGGCAATAGGATTGCTTGAGCCCAGGACTTTGAGGTTGCTGTGAGCTAGGCTGACGCCACGGCACTCACTCTAGCCTGGGCAACAAAGTGAGACTCTGACTCAAAAATAAATAAATAAATAAAGATATACTATTATCTTCTGGTCATATAATTTCTGATGAGAAATCTGCTGTAATTGTCATCTTTGTTCTCTGTAGGTAGCATGTCTTTTCTCTGTAGATGCCTTCAAGATTTTTCTCTTTTTCTTTGGCTTTCACAATTTTGAATGTGATATATTAGGTTGCGTTTGCATGTGCTTATTTGTTGTGTGTGTTTATGTATTTATTTATTTATTTATTTGAGACAGAGTGTCACTTTGTTGTCTGGGCTAGAGTGCCACGTCAGCCTAGCTCACAGCAACCTCAAACTCCTGAACTCAAGTGATCCTCTTGCCTCAGCCTCCCGGGTAGCTGAGACTATAGGGACGTGCCACCATGCCCAGCTAATTTTTTCTATTTTTAATTGTCCGGCTAATTTCTTTCTATTTTTAGTAGAGATGGGGTCTCGCTCTTGCTCAGGCTGGTCTCGAACTCCTGAGATCGAGCAATCCTCCCACCTCAGCCCCCCCAGAGTGTTAGGATTACAGACATGAGCCACCGTGCCTGGCCATGTTTATGTATTTGATCTTCTTCAGATTCTGTGGGTTTCTTGGCTCTGTGGTTTAATATCTTTCATTATTTTGGAAAATTATTGGCTATTATATCTACACATATATTTTTCCCCTCTGTTTTTTCTCCTGGGATGTGAATGACTCACTCATATGTTAGCGCTTTGTTATTTTGTTCTGTTTTTTGTTTGTTTCACTCTTTTTCTCTTTTTGTTTCAGCTTGAGTAGTCTCTGTTGACCTATCTTCAGTCTCACTGGTTCTTTCCTCAGCTGTGAGTTTCCTGATGAGTCTGTCAAAGGCATTCTTCATCTCTCTGTTGTGTGGGTTGTTTGTTTTCTTAATTTTAATTTCTCCTATTTCCATATGACTCTTTTTTGATAGTCCCCATATCGCTGCTATAATTCCCCTTCTGTTCATTCATGTTGTCTACATTTTCCATGGGAGCCTTTCGTATTAGTTAAAATTGTCTTAAGTTCTCTGTTAGATAACTGTAACATGTTGATCTGGCATCTGGTCCTGCTGACTGCTTTGTCTCTTGACTGTAGGGGTTTGGTTTTTTTCGTATTTTAAAGTGTGTGTGTGTATTATAATTTTTGATTGATATTTGGGACATCATAGGACTTAATTTCCTATTATTTATGATTGGAAATTGTCACATTTCTTTTTCTGTTAGGCTATGAGTGTGGAGGATTGAGTCAGTGAGGATTGTCAGGAGTTGAATTACACTTGGATTTGGTTGTTTCCATGCTTACTACAGTGTCTGTGGCTCCTATGGATTCTATACTCTCACGCTAGCCACACTGGGCCTTTAGCAATCAATAAAAATTTTAGCTGAGCTCTCCTTACCAACTTGGGTGGAGACCTTGTCTCCCTCCTGCTTCACAAGTGAGCTTCACAAGTGAGCTTCACAAGTGATCCCACCTCTTTTTGGAGGTTTCCATCCTTTGGAATTCAGGTTAATTGGTTGCTCTGCAACCTTAGCTCTCTGATGGGTTCAACAAAAGTTATGATTTTGTAAATTGCCCAACATTAAAAAAAAATTGTTATCAGTGTAGTAATGAAGCTCTTCCTAGATTTCGGCATCCTAGTTGGAAGCCAGAAGTCTCAAGCCATCTACTTTTTCACTGCTCTTTTCAACTCCTTTGGCCATCCACTTCTGGCCTGCTGCTTGGGTCTTTCTCTTGGGTAACACCCTTCCTGCTTAGCGGCCCTAATTATTTTCAGCTTGGATGTTTCCCCCTCTCCACCCTTCTGGTGGCAAATATCTGGTGAAGAGAAGAGACAGAGGCTCCTAATCTTTCTTCAGCTTGAGCTCAAAATAATCCATGGTGTCCCATTCCCAGGGATGTTTGAAAATGAGGGAGATGACTTTCGGAGCTGAGCTCTCATCCTGATTTGGCCTCATTCTTCCGTGCTAGAAAATGGGATGAAGTAGCTACTCTATCCACAAATTAGAAATAATAATCTCACTGATTAAAATATTTCAAAACTACAACAGGATAAAAAGGGCAGGCTGGGAGTAGAGTGGTTATAAACACGGTCTCTGGAGGCAGCCTGCCTGGATTCAAATTCCAGCTCCATCACTTACTGGCTATAGGGCTGTTCCATCACCCCTCTGTATCTCAGTTTCTGTATCTGTAAAATGGAAATAACAAGAGAATGACTGGTACATAATAAGCTCTGTAGAAGTGGTAACAATCAGGGCTCACTTCAATTTCAGAAATTCATGGAAGAAACCAGTGCCCTCCTTTTCTCAGAACCTATTACAATCAGTACAGCTAATGTTCCTTGAGCATATCAAAGTGCCCAAGTCCTGTACTAAGCATTTCATATGAATTTCCTCCTAAGAGGTAGGGATTAATTATTCTTATATAATAGGTAAGGAGATCAAGGATCAGAGAAGTGTTTACCCAGCTGGCTAGAGGCAACAGTAGGTTTACAACCCAAGAGGGTCTCACTACAATGCCTGTGCTCTTAACCATCACACTTGTTGACTCCCACAAACTAGTTTCTAGGCTTGTGAACTAGTGGGAAAGCTGCTTGCTGTATTTATCTCACAGGGTTGTTTTGAGATCCCAGTGATATAATGCAATTGCCAGTGCTTTAGGTATTTGTACACAGTGTTGGTTCCCTGGCAGGGAAACCTGAATGTGTCATGATTTTTCACATCCTCATCCCTTGCACTTGCCCTTCCCCCACGTTTCTGCTTATTGAACTCATTTCTTCAAGACTCAGCTCAGATATCAGTGCCTGGATTTTATTCTAACAATGGAGGATTCAAGCAGGGGGTGCACATCAGACACGGGTTCTGAAAAGACGGCTGCCTGCTGTGTGGGGAGTGGAGTGTAGCCGGGCCAGAGTGCGTACAGGAAAATCAAATAGAAGGCTACTACAGTAGGAGCCCAAGCGAGAGACGGTGGTGGAAACGGAGGGGAATGGTGGATGGAAAGATATTTAGGAAAAGAGAATCGACAGGAAATGGAGGTGTATTTTAATGTGGGCGGCGAGGGAGAGGGAGGTGCCAAAGATGACTCCTAGTTCCTGGCTTGCTCACGGATGTTTGTTGAATGATCTAGTGACCCCAAGACAGGAGCATTCTCAGACGGTCCCCGCGCTGCTTCCTGAGCTATGACCACCAGGGGATGGGTATGAAGGGAGGAGGAAGAGAATGGGCACGGAGCCTTGGTCCAGGAGCTGCTAGATTGGGGACTTCTAGCACGGGCCTGAGCGAGGAGGCGCTGCGAAGGGGGCAAGCGTTTCCCCTCTCGGCCTGCAGTTTCTGCCTCGCCCTTCCACCCTCGCCAGGCCGGACCTGCAGCGCCCCTCTCAGCACCGTTGAGGTGCTGGCTCCCTGCCAGCGTCTGGGGGCGCGGCGCAGCGGCCCACCCCTTCGGCCCTGAGCCGCCCGGTCTCGGTGCCCACCCCGCCCAGTGCGCTGGTAAACTGGGCGGCGGCTCTGTCTAGACCCGGAGCCAGGAATCAGGGGCAGCCGGGTGAGTCCCGGGCTCAGGGGGTCCTCCACCGCAGTGCACCTGCCTGCTGGGCCGCCCCGGGTCAGCGCCCTGCCGGCCTCCGGCGGGTTCCCAGCGTGCGCCTTCTCCAGCAGTGCGCGCGTCCGCGTGGCGAGTGTGGCCGAGGTCCCGGGAGTCCGGGTGCCGGTGCGGAGCCGCCGCGTGGGCGCTGCCAGGACCCAGAGCGCAGCAAGTGTGCGTGGGCGGAGAGCCGGCGCGGGAGCCCGCCGCGGGGCTGCGCGGGGCGGGGGCGCAGCAAGTGCATCTGAGCGTGCGGAGAGCAGCGCACGGGCGTCTGCGGCGAGGGTGGTGTGCGGAGGAGCCGGGCCGCTCCGAGGGAGGAAGGATGCGTGCGGGGAACTTTTCGACCGCCCTGGAAGTACGACCAGTCGCGCTCCCAGGGGCTGCCTTTGGCCGCTGGGCGAGTGTGCCCGCCGCCGCCCCTCCCCCACTTCCGCCTCCCGCCTCTTCCTCGTTCCCGGCTCCCAAGGCCCGTCGGTCCCGGGGGAGACCCGGAGGCGCAGCCCCACCCCGGCCGGCGCGGCTCGCTCCCACGCCCCCGCCGCCGCCTCGCCTTCGCGGACAGTCTGAGCAGCGGGGGCGCCGGGCGCTGCAGGTAGGGGCTCTGGCGACGGTGGCGCAGGTGCCGCGGGGGACAGCGGAGGGGACAGGAGCACGAGGGGAACGGCCTGGGGAGCGCCCTTCTCTGCGCTCCTCCCTTCCCCCGGCGACGCGGCGTGTCCCTTTTTAGGGAATTCTTTCCCTCTCGCTTGCTCCGGTGCGGGTGGGGCTGAGACCGAGAGGAGTTCTCCATTTCACCGGCTCCTGCCCGGTCCCCTGGCAGCCTCCTGCCCCCAGATCTCTTCGCCCCCCTCCCCAGAACCCATAGCCTCGTAAACAACTCCCTTCTTTGCTCCAGCTCGGCTGCGCGGCCCCCCGGAGGGCAGCCCCTTCGCTCTCGGGAGACCCGTGGGACTAGGGGGAGGGGAAAAGAAAGGGGGCGTCCCGGAGCCCCTGGTCCGCGTCGGCTCCCCCCACCCTCTGTCTGTCCCTTCCCCACCCCCTGCTAGAGCAGACTGCCCCAGGGGCCCTGGGTATTTTTAGCGTTGTGACCTGGGCGGCAGCTCTGAGAGCCTTTCCCAGGAACCGGCGTCAGCGCCTCCCTCCTCCACGTCCAGCCCGCGGCCACACCGTCTCCCCACACTTCGTGGCCCTGCCTGGCCCTCTCGGGTTTGAGTCCCTCTCGACTGCCCCATCTGGGGCTGGCCAGGGTCTGGGATGCGCTGAGTCCGGATGAGGTGGGGAAGGCAGTGTGCAAAGGATGATGACCAGATCCTCAAGCTAGAAACTCCCCTGCCTCTGGCGATGGGCTCAGAGCAGAAAGCCAGGAAGGAGATGGAGCGAATGGGAGTGAACGCGGAGGGCCTGGCCTTGCCCAGAGCTCTGGTGTTCTGGAAAGCTCTCAGCACTGGGGGTCAGGAGATCTGGTCTGAATTGGACCCAGGACCCGCCCTTCCGATTGTTCCTCACTGACTAATGGGGAGATAAGACAGTGAGATGTGAAACAAAGAGCTCAGAGAGTTCAGGGAAAAGATGGTCGTCCCCTAAATAGCTCACCTTCCCAAGCAGCGTCTTGTGTTTGAGGTAGGTAGGACGATTATGTCATTTTCAGATGAGGGGACTAAGGCTAGAAAGATGATTTCCTCAGTGGCAGAGCCCAGTCTGGAAGTCAGGTCTGTGACTTCAGAGCAAGGGGATGGGGGTGGGGTGGGTGTTTGCAGAGAGAGAAGGAGGAGGAGGAGGGGTTGCTTTAGCTTTTGTTTGAATTTTGAAGGATGTAGAGGAACCAGAGTTGCAGCACTAGAGGAAGAGGACCCTCCACTCCAAAATCTCTATCCTGTCATCCTCCCTGGCCTTCCGAAGGGAGCTGGGTCCATTAAGTGGAGAAAGTACCTCCCCCATTTGGGCTGAACCAGCCCTACCCGTCCAGCCGCTCTTGGAGGGGTACAACACCGAGAGTTGGCCATAGGCTGTGTTTCCTGAATACAGAGGACCTCTTTTGCAGTGCCTGGAACTGACATCCCCTTTGTGAAGCTAGGGCAAGCCCTCCCTCTGCATGAGATTTGAAGTTTGTGGGATGAACTTGCTTTCAGAGAAGGGGACAGAGGTAGCCAAGGCCAGAGGTGTCCAGGCTGGAATCAGAGGTCCCACTGCTGGGATGCTGTCTGCAGTGGGGCTCCCTGTGCCCAGACCCCCACTACCTTCTCCCTCGGCTTCACAGCTGCACTTGTCTTGCTTCTTTACCCTCCAGGAGCCGACATGGACCCAAATCCTCGGGCAGCCCTGGAGCGCCAGCAGCTCCGCCTTCGGGAGCGGCAGAAATTCTTCGAGGACATTTTGCAGCCAGAGACAGAGTTTGTCTTCCCTCTGTCCCACCTGCATCTCGAGTCACAGAGACGTAAGTCCTGAGGCGAGGGACTGGGGTAGGGTAGGAAGGATGTCTTGTGGGTCTTGAATCTTGCGGACCCCCTCCCCTCTTATTTTCATGGCCTTCTAAACTCCTCCTTTGGGACCTGACAGGTACCTGTCACCATTCTATTGGCTCCAGCCTGAGTCCTGACTTGCCCCCTTCTTGATCTGTAGCCCCCATAGGTAGTATCTCGTCTATGGAAGTGAACGTGGACGCACTAGAGCAAGTAGAACTTATTGACCTTGGGGATCAGGATGGAGCAGACGTGTTCTTGCCGTGTGAAGATCCTCCACCAACTCCCCAGACGTCTGGTATGCCCCTCTGCTTTGGGGACCTGGGCTAATGCTGACTAATGTCAGCCAGAGCCGGATGTTGGGGCTCTGAAATGAGACTGCAAGGCTGGGCTGGGGAAGTACACGAGTAGGGGCTGGAAGTGGGTGTTTCTACCAACAAAACAGCTGCCTGCTCTGATTTTAGGGAAGTTGACCTTGAGGGGGAACTAGGTTACACATCCCCAATTCAAAGTTCTAGGAATGGTTAATCCTTTGCCTTTTAAATTTTACATTTGTGAAGTTAATATATTTGCTTACTATAATTAAAATAATACAAAATATAATTTTTATATTTTAAATTTACAATTTAAGTAGTTTTAGTCATCATAATGATATTAATATTTATTGATTACTTTAGTACGTTCCTTATGTTGTGCTAAAATACTTTACATATATTATCTCAATCCTTACAATGTCCTCTCAGGGCAGGTAGTATTATCCCCATTTTGTATAGAAGGAAATTAGGCTCAGATAATTGAAATCACATAGCCACAAAGTAGAAAAGCTGGGATTCAAATCATGTCTGTCTGACTCCAAAGCCCATATACTTATAAGATATTCTCTTATTTAAAACTGCAACTCTTTCCTAACCAGTTACTGACTTCAAAGAAAAAATAAAAAAAAAAAAAAAATAAAATAAAACTGCAACTCTTTATTGATAGCCTACTATGTCAGACATTTTTTTTTTTTTTTGAGACAGAGTCTCGCTTTGTTGCCTAGGCTAGAGTGAATTCTGTGGCGGCATCCTAGCTCACAGCAACCTCAAACTCCTGGGCTCAAGCAATCCTACTGCCTCAGCCTCCCGAGTAGCTGGGACTACAGGCATGCGCCACCATGCCCGGCTAATTTTTTCTATATATATTAGTTGGCCAATTAATTTCTTTCTATTTATAGTAGAGACGGGGTCTCACTCTTGCTCAGGCTGGTTTCAAACTCCTGACCTTGAGCGATCCTCCCACCTCGGCCTCCCACAGTGCTAGGATTACAGGCGTGAGCCACCTTGCCAGGCTTATGTCAGACATTTTCTAAGCATTCTTAGATTTTTATCCTCAAAACCCTTTGGGAATGTAGATGTCCTCCCCTCCCCCCCTTTTATTTTTACAAAGGAGGAGCAGAGTCCTTAAAAGGGAAAGTGACTTGCTCCAAGCTACAAAGCAGCGGTAAGTGATATAGGTAGAACTTGAACTCTTGCATCGATTGACCTGACACAGACACAGTGTAGTGACATGGAAGGAGCTGGGAGTCAGGAGGAGGAGGTCTTAATCCTGGCTCTTTACTGTGCTGGCAAAATGACTTTGGACAAGTCCCTGCCCCTCTCTGGGCTTCAGTTTCTTCTGGCTGGGTAATCTCTAAGAGTCCTCAAAAGTGCTGTTTTGGCCCTGATCAGCTCTTTTCTCTGGGCAGGGGTGGACGACCATCCAGAGGAGCTGAGCCTGCCAGTGCCCATGGCAGACAGGACCACATCCAGGACCTCTTCCTCATCCTCTGACTCCTCTACCAGCCTGCACAGCCCAAATCCGAGTGATGGTGGAGCAGACACGCCCTTGGCACAGTCGGATGAGGAGGAGGATGGAGCTGATGCAGGGGCAGAGCCCGGGGCCTGCAGCTAGCAGTGGGCCCTCCTACAGACTGACCAAGCGGGCTAATCTGCACACGAGGCTGAAGGAGAAGAATTTTCTTCTTCGGGAGCAGACCAGACTCTTAACTTACAGTAGGCACCAGAGGGGAGGGAAGGATGGCCGGATTGTGTCTCTCTCTGAGATTAACCCTTTCCTGCTTTACTGCTGACCTTTTCCTGCTGCAACCCTTGCACTAGTCTTTGGCTTACTCCTGAGGTAGGACTTGCAAATAAGGCGATGGAAGATGAGGTAGGACGAGATGCCACTGCTTTTCTTAGCACTCCTCCCTCCCCTGAACTATCCTGTAGTCTTCTAATAGAGTCTCCTAAACCAGTGTCTCTAAGTGGATGTGAACTCCACACGTCGAGTAAGGTGGTACTCCAGCCATCCTGCCTCCTTTACAACCTTTTTGGAACAGAGCACGGTATAAATAATAAACAAATATTAACATACCAACCATTCCATTTCATTTTTCACATCACAGAGCCTTTAGCTCTCTAATCAACACCATGTCCTCATCACTCATTCACTCCATTATTGCAGAAATATTTATTGAACATCTGTGCTAGGCATTTGGAATACAGTTTTGAACAAGGCAGGCTGATACAGACTCCTGCCTTCATGAAGTCTACTGTCTTGGGGGAGAAAAATCAAGTAAATACCACCATTCACAGTGTAAGTAGTGTGAGGAGGAACTAACTACTCCTGTACTAGAAAACATGGGCATCTTAACCTAGCTTGTGTGGTCATTGAAAAGCTGATTTTTAAGCTGAAGGATGATTAGGAGTTAGCCAGGCGGGAGGGCATAATCCAGACAGAAAGAGCAGCTTGTGGAGACTTTAAATGGAGAGAACATAGTCTCGAGGAACTGAAAAACACTGTTTGGCTGAATTGCTGGATTTGAGGAGGAGATGCAGGGGTAAGACTGACAAAGCTCAGGTTGTGAAAATGCTTTGAAGCCTGGATCAGGTTTCAGTTTGACTGCTAGTAAAAGATCATGACTTAAGATATAAATTTATTTCCTCATATAAAAGAAGCCCAAAGTATAGGCTATATGCAAGTTTCATAGTTACTGAGCACCAGGCTCCTTTGTGGTTCTTTTTGCACATGGCTTGCGTTCTTTTTGATACTTCATGTCTAAGGTGGCTGTCAGAGCCTCAGCCATCATGACCTTGAAACTGGCAGAAAGCAAGTGAGGCATGGGCAAAGAAGGCACAGCCAGAAGTCTGTTCCCACTTTCAGAAGCATTTTTGGAAGTTCTAATTAATAGCATCCACTTTCATTTCATTGGCCAGAACTTGGTAGCATAGGAAATGTTTCATTTATAGACCTTTTATAGACATAGGGACTCATGCCTGTAATCCTAACACTCTGAGAGGCCGAGGCTGGAGGATCGCTCAAGGTCAGGAGTTGGAGACCAACCTGAGCAAGAGTGAGACCCTGTCTCTACTAAAAATAGAAATTAATTGGCCAACTAAAAATATATAGAAAAAATTAGCTGGGCATGGTGGCGCATGTTTGTAGTCCCAGCCACTCGAGAATCTGAGACAGAAGGATCGCTTGAGCCAGGAGTTTGAGGTTGCTGTGAGCTAAGCTGAAACTATAGCATTCTAGCCCGGGGAACAGAAGTGAGACTCTGTCTCAAAAAAAAACAACAAAAAATAGACATAGGGAGACAGCATTATTGAGGAGAAAGGAAATTCTGGTCTTTGGAAAGACCATAACCTTTTCAAATCCCTGAATTATCAATGCATCTGATTTCTGAATACCTGTCAGACCCCTCAGAAGCACCCTCGCTACTGGGGTGACTGGGATAGTCATTTAGAAGGGCACATTGTTTTCTTGTTAGATTCAAGGTTTTGTAATATCAAGGAACAAGAGAACAGTAGTCATTGGGTAGGTAATTAGTAGTTTATATGTTAGAGGCCACGTTAAAGAGTTTGAATTTATTGGGAGTAATGAAGGATTACAAGTGGTTGGATTTGCTTGTTAAAAAGCTAATTATGGCTGCTGTGTAGAGAATAAACTGGAAGAGGATAGGCTCAAGACAGACAACACAGTAATCCATGTAAGAGATAATGGCGGCTTACAAGACAGTAGTGGTGATTGGCTTAATTGAGTCAAGGCAGAGTATAAACTGATCAATGACATTATTCATTGAATAAATGTTAAATGTAGGTATTTAACATGCACAAGACACTGAGCATGGCCTTGTAGGTGTAGTAGCAGCAAAGAACACAGTCCCTCTTCTCATGGAATTTACAGTCTAGTGGGAGCCCACATGTAAAATTGCAACTGTGTCTAGTGCCAGGAAGGAATTAGTCTATTCGGAAGGGTCACAGGGGTGTTTCCCTGGAGGAAGTGGCATCTGAGCTAAGATCCTAGTGACGAGTGGGAGTAAACTAGGGGAAGAATAACTGGAAGGGCTTCTCGTGAAGTCCTGATTGAAAAGACCAGAATGGATCCATGGAAAACAGAAGCTGATTGTAGCCATCTAGATAAGAAATAATGGATGAGGGTGGAGGTAGAGGGATGGAGAACCCTGGAAGGGATGAAGAGATTTAGGAGGCAAGTTCCAAAAGATTTAATGGGTGGGTGTGAGAGGAAGGGATCAAGGGTGCTGCCGTTGCTTCTGCCTCCTGCAGCCGGGTGATTTGGAGGGCTCTTCACCCAGATGGGGAGTTTTGGAGAGAACTAGGTTTGGGAAGAAAGACATACATTTGGTTTTGGTTTATTTATTTTTCTTACAGAGACACTGTTCTTGTACATACTGTTGAGTCTGAAGTGCCTTTGAGACATCCAAGAGGACATGTTGAGTAGGCACTTGGACCTATAAGTGTGGAATTTAGATGAGAGGATTGGACTGGAAAAAGAAATGATGAGTTATCATGCATAGATTATAGGTGGTAAGTGAAGCCATGAATGTAAATGAGCTTGACAAGGGAGAGAATGTTGAATGAAAGGAACATTACTCATTTCTCACATTTAAAAAAAAAATCAAGGCCGGGCCCAGTGGCTCACGCCTGTCATCCTAGCACTCTGGGAGGCCGAGACGGCCGGATTGCTTGAGGTCAGGAGTTCAAAACCAGCCTGAGCAAGAGTGAGACCCCATCTCTACTATAAATAGAAAGAAATTAATTGGCCAACTAATATATATAGAAAAAATTAGCCGGGCATGGTGGCGCATGCCTGTAGTCCCAGCTACTTGGGAGGCTGAGGCAGTAGGATCGCTTGAGCCCAGGAGTTTGAGATTGCTGTGAGCTAGGCTCCCGCCACGGCACTCACTCTAGCCTGGGCAACAAAGCGAGACTCTGTCTCAAAAAAAAAAAAAAAAGAAAATCATTCTACCTTCCTTCACACATCAGATACCACACATGGGATCAGTGACCTTAAGCCCAAGTCCTAAACTGTTCCTAAGTGCTTTTCCTAAGGCTAATGAGAAACTTTTGGGAGCTCCTGGGAAGTAGGAGTGTCCATTAGGCTTTCCCTGTCTCCAGGAAGCTTGTGGAGTGAATACCTTTTGTCCAAAAGCCCTGCGTCCAAGTTGAAGTCATCCATTAAGCTGGGCCAGGGCTATGTTAACCTTTGGGGGTTTTCTGGGTTGCTTATGACTTTGCTGCACACAGAAGACATGATCTCCGTCCTCTTGTGCCTTCTCCCATTCTTTCCTTTAGAGTAGCAAGGCTCTACCTCCTGTCTGACTGTGGCTGAGTCTCCTCTTGGGCAGTGGCCCACGACCTGAACAGCTTTGCTATGCAGGGCTTCTGAACACCCGAAATCACCCCACTTCCTTCCAGGGTGAATGATGGGAAGCTAGACTGGCTTGGTGTCAACATGTCAATAAATCTCTTCGTACCCCAGGCACACAATGCTAAGATTGTGGGGAGCCTGTCTGGGGAGAGGGATTTACATCATTCTCAAGAAGTAGAATTGTTTGTGAGCCTATGGGGAGCCTTCAGTTTGGCTGCTATGAGCCTTAGCCCTGCCTGGAAAAGTCTAGGATCGGCTGAGACCCCGGGACCACTTCCTGGTTGGGACAATGATCTTTTCTCCTGCCAAACCACAGGGGCTTGGCTGGCCTTCAGAGCCACCATCTCCAGCTGACAATTTTTTGGTGTTTTTTTTTGTTGTTGTTTGTTTGTCTGTAAAAAACTTTTTATTATGAGGGTTTCAAACATAAAACAAATATAGAAAGAAAAATATCCCTTGTTCCCATCATACAGTTTCAAAAATTATCAAAACAATTCCAATATTGTATCATCTATCTACCACATACTTTTTTTTTTCATGGAAAGATATGATAATTATTGAGAGGAAGAAGTAGATTACAAAACAGTGTATCCAGTATGGTCACTTTTTATAAGATAATATGAGTATCTTCAGGATTCACCATTTGATTACAGTGTCTGATTAAAATTAAACCGTGGTTTATGCCAGCCCAGAGTCTAGCTGTCTGTTTTTTGAGGCCATACAGTGCCCTTGGAGATGGGAGGATGATTTGGAGCCAATTCTGAGTCAAGGAGCCCAGCTTTCAGTCTAGAGGCCACAGTGTGGCTTCTGACTATTGCACAGACTTGTCATAGGGTGGACATCCTGACAGACTCTGGAGAGGAGGGGAGAAGACAAATCCATCCTGATAGACCGCTATGCTGTGGAAGAAACAGGAAGGACCACAGCTCAGGAGAAAATTCCCTGGGAGCCTCACACCGTAGCATCCCCAGGAGTGTACAGAACTTGACACTGAACAGCCTGGCAGTGTGGGGACAATATAGAACTGTGCTATGATGTTTGTTTGTTCATACATTCAGACACTACTGAGCACCTACCTATTTATGTGCTAGCCACTTAGCTTAGGCAACAGAAATACTAAGGTGATCAAGAGCTCTTCCAGGAGTGGACATAGCCACAGATCATGGAAGTATAATGTGATGAGGGCTGTAGCAGAAGTACACAAAGGACTGTAGCTTCCTAGAGAGGGAGAAAGTAAGTCTTCACTGAAGGCTGGGTCTTAACTGATGGGGACAGGCAATTCAAAAGCAAGGCATAGAAGTACAAAATCATAATGATGGAAGCTCTGCCTTTTAAAAAATTATTTTGAGCTATAGTATACTGTAATTTCTTAGGAAATGATCTCAGTTTTTGTACTTCAGTTTCCTCTTCTCTAAACTGGATATAATAGTACAACATGATGGGGTTGTTTGAGGAAATGTTATTATTTAGCACTTACTACATTCCAGATCCTACATATACATAATTTCTAATCCCAACAACAACCCTGAAAATAGGTTTCTCCATTTGACAGATGAAGAAAAGTGGCACTTGGATTGCTCAGGTTCATATGCCTTAAAGGCTAGCACAGGGATTTGAACCCATGTCTTTCTGACATCTAAGCTCATGGCCTTCCTACTATTCCATGCCTAATGAGGCAGGAACACTGAATTTAGGTAGAGTGAGAA